ACTCCCTTCCTCCATCCGCTGACTCCCCCAACCTCCAGGCGCACACATGTGCACGCACACCCATGTACACATGCACAATGAACCAAGAAAGGAAGGAAAAGAAATCAGTAATGAGAGAGCCCACTAATGGATTGGCTTAAGTATAGAACAACAGCCCATCACAGTTCTAGAAAATAATCAATCAGGCACTTAATTTTAAACATGAAAGTAAGCTGCCAGGAGACTGTTAATAGATAACCAGATAAATTAACAGTTGTAGGTGGGATCTGAGACCAGTGCAGACTTTCCACCAGGCTCAGGCTCCCTGCATATAAAGGGCCTCTCTGGCGTGGCACTTGATCTCACACTGTTTCAAAGTGGGAAATCTCCTTTTAGCCAATATCCCTTCGCAGCGGGTTCGTCACTTCAGGGAACTGTCCTTTGTGCGTCTTCCATAAATTTTATAACACCACTACTTTAAAATATCGATGGGCAACTTGGCCTTGGCCCAGGCCCGCAGTGGGTTAGCGTGGACATGAAAACCTTCAGGAGCATAGAAACAGGAAGGAACACCTTCCCCGCTGACCCTTGTTAAGGGACAATTGTGTAAGTGCGGTGGCTACCTGAGCTGAGGCCTGCCTGCCTTTGATGGATGGCTCTTCCCCTCTAGGAGCTGGCTCAGAGCCCTGTGGGGACAGGAGGGCATTTGGGACATACACAGGCAGTGTCCAGCTGCCTGCAGCTCCGCAAAGGGTAAGTGAAAGCCACACATAATCCCCCAGGTTGCTCAAACTTGAACCTGAACTTTTCCCGACACTCAAGCTCACTACAAAATGACAATGAATAAGGATCCACAGCTCTGTACTCTGTCTCTTCCCCCTCGCCAGTGACCCCCTCAGAACAAGTAGCCAAAAGTAAATGGCAACAAGGAACATAAATGATAGGACAAGGGAATTGACCCCTGGCTTCCTGAGGCTCTGTGAGCCTTCTGAACTCATCATGTCCTTCTGTAGTCACACTCTCTTTATCATAACAAGGACAATAAACCACTGTAAAAATCCTACTTCCTAGAATAAAGCCACCACGGAGAACAGCACAGCAATAGTTTGCCACACACATGAATAATGCAAGTTAATAGTAGCTACCACTCATGGGGGCCTTTAACACACCTACTCACTGTGGTACCTCTCCAGTTCTGACCCCACTGCAATGGAAATAGACAAGAGGTCAACCATTCACAAGCAACCCAGACAGGGTTTATGGCGGGATGCTCCAGCCCAAGGGAGCCAGCTCATCAGGACCAGGTCCTCCCATCTGGCTCAGTGAGGGGAGCTGGGCAGGGATTTGGATCAGGTGGGAAGGTGTAGCAGTGTCCCCTGGGAACACCTGCCTGGTGTTCTGTGCATTCACTGTTCCCCTTGCACACAACACGCTCAAGATGGCAGTGCTGCTCACTCCCACCACCCCAGGAGGGTCATAAACTAGAGGCGTCGGGCTACTCTGGCATGCACACAGGCAGGAGGGGGTGTCTTCTCTGTGTGGAATGTGGGTGCTCCTTGCTCCTAATTGACTAGAAGCTAGAGATGATACTGTCAAATTGTGCTGGGCTTGGTTTTGTGAGTCCTGTTTCTATCCTGTCTCAACTGTGCTGCACTAAATACATCACCTATCTGATCCCATTTAATCCTTTTTTCAAAGCTGCAAAAATATCTTTTGATCCAGAAAAACAGCTTCCAAGAAGTTTTCCTAAAGAAATGATTGAGAATATGTCTGAAGATGTTGTCTATAATGATGTTTATCAAATTACTGCTTAGTAATAAGTGAAAAATGAAAATAATAAAAGTTCTGATAATTAAGAACAGGATAAATGATTTATAAATCTCTATATACGGCCAGCGCCGCGGCTCAGTAGGCTAATCCTCTGCCTTGCGGCGCTGGCACACCGGGTTCTAGTCCCAGTCGGGGCACCGGATTTTGTCCCAGTTGCCCTCTTCCAGGCCAGCTCTCTGCTGTGGCCCGGGAGGGCAGTAGAGGATGGCTCAAGTGCTTGGGCCCTGCACCCCATGGGAGACCAGGATAAGCATGTGGCTCCTGCCTTCGGATCAGCGTGGTGTGCCGGCCGCAGCGCGCCGGCCGCGGTGGCCATTGGAGGGTAAACCAACAGCAAAGGAAGACCTTTCTCTCCCTCTCCCTCTCTCTCTCTCTCTCACTGTCCACTCTGTAAAAAAAAACAAACAAAAAAACTATATAATACTTATGTTGTGTGGTCATTTAAGATTACATTGTAAAATAATATGCAATGACAACTAAAATATGTACATGCAATGTTAAGTAAGCAAGGTTATAGAGGAGTAAGAACAACAGAGTAGTTTTATAAAATTAAAGTATGCTTAGGCTGTGGTGTAGCCGGCATCTCATATGGGCACCAATTCAAGACCCAGCTGCTCCACTTCCGATCCAGCTCCCTGCTAATGCACCTGGGAAAGAGATTTCCAGGTTGTTGGGCCCCTGCACCTACATGGGAGACCCAGGAGCAGCTCCTGACTCCTTGCTTTGGATAGTCCAGCTCCAGCCATTGAGGCCATTTAGCAAATGAACCAGTAGATGGAAGATCTCTCTCTGTCTTTGTGTCTCTCTATCTATAACTCTGCCTTTCAAATAAAATAAATAAATCTTAAAAAAATAAAGTATGCATAAAATATGTGGGATTAGATTCATCAGTGTCCTAAGACTCCTGGTGTTTTCCCTTTCTTTCTATTTACCTTACATTCTAATTTTTTAAATAAATTATACTAAGAAAAATATTTTCATAGATGATTGACATAGTGGTGAACATGCCAATTGGGATGTACATACCCCATATCAGAACACCTGTGTTTCAGTCCTGATTCCAGCTTCTTGCTGAAGTACATTCTGGGAAGCAGCAGTCATGGCTCAAGTTCTAGGGTCTCTGCCACCCACATGGGAGACCCAGATGGAGTCCCTGGCTCTTGGCTTTGGCCTAGCCCAGTCCTGTCTGTTGCTGACATCTTGGGAGGTAAAGCAGTGGATGTGATATCTTTCACATAAATAATTTTTTATAAATATGACCTTTGTAATATGTCCAAATATTCACAGATGTTAACTTAGTATTGATGCATTTGACATATAAAGCCCTTTCTTGTCTACACTAGTTGTACCCATTGTCTCAGATGATTCTTATACCAACCTTTTCAGATGGGTTGAGCAGACGTTTTATAAATCTGAAGATTTTCAAAAATACAAGAAAGAAAGAGAAGAACACAAGGAACCCAGAGCCTGCCACTGCATCCCCAGGCAGGCTGCACTAAGGCACCCCCGACTCAGCATCTGCTGTGGGAGGTGCAACTCTGCACCCTCTCAAAGCTGTCTGCCCTGTTCCTGTTTTGGCTTTTCTCCCCTTGATGCTTAAGTTTGCTAGAATTCTACTCTGCTCAGGACAGGTGAGGGAACATTCCAGAATACAGGTAAGCAAGGTGGTGGGCTGGAGCTGGCTCACAAAAGCAGTGGCCTTGACCAGTGACGCCACGTCAGCCAGGCTGGGAGTGTTTACATCATGGGAATTAGCAAATGCCACAAATCAGGGTTCCTCTCTCTCCCAGGGAGCCAGTTGTTAAACACTTCCCAGCGTACCGCTGGAGTCTCAGGAGGAAAAGCCCATACATTGAAATGAAGGTCAAACACCCAGACTCCTGCTTTAAGCAGGATTATGCTGCATAGAATAAGCAGACTACAAACGCTGAAAAATGATAATGCATTGTTCAGAAAACGTGTCCTCTTCAAAGTCCACTCTGTTATGTCTAAATCTGAGGGACCCAACCAACGATTCACACCAGACAACTGAGCCCTGAGCCGGCTCCCTGCTTAGAAGTCCCAGACAGCCCCGCAGTCTCGTCCCAAGTGTGCCCTCACTCAGGCGAAGGACTGGGCGGCCCAATCCTGCCTCCCCATCTTTGGGCCATCTCCAGTGCTTCACGCACCATCTCTACTCTTTCCGCACTTGCGGGCAACTCAGCTGCGAGCGAAGCAGGATCAGGAGATAATTTGGCCCAGATGGCGCTAACACAGACAGACAATGACAGGCAGAGCGCCTGCGGGGGGCCCTCCAATGTCTCTGAGAAGCTGCCGGTCCCCTCGGAATGCTACCTCCTGTTTGAGCGGCGATAAAATGTCTGCTCAGGCGCCTGAAGACACGCTCAGCTCAGCGCGCAGGAAGGCAGGGCCCCGGGAACCTTTTCTGTCGGCTTCCTCTGCGGCTCAGCTTGGGACTTGGGCCCTGGGGGATGCGGGAGATCAGGCATAAAACCCCGAAGATATCCGCAGCTCCTGAGGATCAAAGGCTTGCAGCGAAGGATAACCCCGCGCTAGAAGCAGAAGGAAGCTTTGCAGACTGCAGCGTTGAAAGGCGGTTGAAAGGCGGTGAGGAAGAGGCAGAGAGGCTGGGGGACCCCGGGAGCGTGCGTGGCTGCAGAGCAGCGGCCTCCACGGCAGTGGAGTTCTGGGGCAACCGAACAGGCTGGGAGTCACTGTTTAAAACAGTTCTCTTTTCTGCCCTGTAATCAACACGAAAAAGACAGATGAAAGGAACTGCTGTCCACAGAGCCAAGCCCCGGGAACTGTGGCTTGTCTTCGGGAAGAGCAGGAACCGCGCCACCGGAGGCACAAGAGAGGGTGACGTGGCGGTGAGAGGGTCCTCCTAGCTGCCCCTGGGAGCCAGCGAGGGTGCCACAGCCCTGGACACTGCGCCGGCTCCACCTGGCTCTCTCCAGGCCCTTTGCAGAACACACGATTTACAAGTAATAAATAAAAGGCACAACACTCTTCAGTGTAAATCCCGTAGAATCAGCTGATTCTCAAAAAACGCATTTACTGATTTCTACCAAGCGCTTTTATCTGCAGCCAGCCTATGGTCGCAACTGATCAACGAGTATAGCTCTGGCCTGCGTGTGGATAGTTTTGTTTACATCCATCAGTGATGTGAACACGAAGCAACTTCTCTGTAGGTCAGAACTTCGCTGGGTGGACTGAGCCTTCCCTCAGGCGTGCTCTCCGCGATGGAATGGCTCCCGAGACAACTTTTAAACTGTAAGGTTGGCCATCACTTCCTTAAGTCTAGATCATGAACCAGTTAATTATATAGTGAGTAAAGAGGAAGTGATGGATTCTGAGTGCTAGCCTTAAATTATAGTTTCATGGTGATTTATATAATTTTTAATGATCAATGTATTTAATAATCTGAAATTTATCAATCAGCTCACAAGCCAGCACACAGTATGTGGATTCCATCCTCAATATAGAAATCACTTTTTAAATGAAAAAAAAAAGGTACAAATGCAGATTACTACACATGTTATCCGAGAAAAATCTACTACTTCTTAACATGATAATATGATAGGCAGTAAAGCTTTGGCCCCTGAGGGAGACTGGAAGTTAGTCTGTGTGTTCCTTTTGGGCAGCAGACCGCCAAGACTGTGTGCCTGGAAACAAAAAGCTCGCAAGGACCACAGACAGGGCCTGCTTCCTACCCAGCGGCTTCATAACAAAGGTTCCAACCAGGCCTTTTTCCAAAAATGTTTTTAATTCCAATATCCTAATGGCCTACCGTAGACAAATTTAGCCAATAGCTGTTGTTATACTAAAAATGGAAGCTAATGATTTCAGCTGAAAACAGCTAAGCCAGTACTATCAAAGAATATTGTCAGAGAGTGATTATCACGGGCACATTTGTTCTTCACTTCCTGTTCCCTATAGAAAGGCTTAATAAGATTCCCACATCAAAGCCAGCGCATTTCTGCCTCTCCCGAGACCTTAGAGCATTATGAGCCAGTCCTCCAGAGGCAGCCACCTCCCAGGGCCCCTCTTTTGTAAGCCTCACCGCACGCAGGGAGCAGTGGCTGGGCTGAAGCGCAGCACCTGCTCTTGCTGGCCATCACCACACCATTCAGCCCACACCAGGGGGCTGCAGAACACTCACAGAAAGTGTGTATTATGAAAAAAAATCTGTGCGTGGATTTCAAAATTTGTGCACCAAATGCACTTTTTAAGTTCTACTGCCCATGAACTTTTTCAGTCGCTCTCCTATATCTCTGCACACTTTCTAGTTTTCCAAATGAAGTGCATTTTGATAAGAAATATCGCTTTGAAGGCAAAGGTCAGTTGACAGCCACACCACCCAGCTGGCTGGAGGAAACCTGGCAGAACAAAACATGGGAAGGTTTTCAAGCCCTGCTGCTTGAATGAACAGGAATGCTAGACAAAAGCCCGTGAAACCGTGACATGATTATGACACCAGCACGTATTCCTACTGGCAACGAATCCAAATCTTTTTGTGCTGTCCTGATGAGCAGTGTTAGTCCATTTGACATCTGCACCCTCAAACGCGATAGTTTCTTTCTGAAAAATGAAATTTCTGTGTCATGGGAAGCGCCCTGCACTGTGAGAAGTTACTGAAGGAACCTCAAAGATCAGAGCCAAACCCCTGTGAACAACATTCATAAAGCCTTAATTAAATGTTTTTAATCTTACAAGTTTTAGAAATAATGAAAGTGACTAGCTTCTGTCTGCCGAGGAATTCCCATCTTGTTATTCACAGCTGAGAAAGCGAGGAACCCTAATGCAGGGCAATGGTTTGTATAACACAGAATGTTCTCTCTCGAGGCGCGACAGCTCCAGGAACTTCCCATTTCCACCTGTCTGGAGCCACGTGCCTGGTCCATCCTCAGGATTCTGACCCAAGAGGATTTTCAGGCAAGGGGAGGAGGTGAGAGATGCACCCATCCATGCACGCACAAGGTCACCTATTAATACGGCCCCCAGCTGTAGCTGCGCAGGGCGGTCCCTGCTGCACCCCCACCTACCCCTGATGCAGGAGCAAACACACCAGAGCCCTGAGGGCAGCCTCGGGCAGGCTGCAGGCCTCACTCACTGCTGGCCCTGTCCTGGGGGTGAGGGGAGCCCAGTCCTTCCCCCTCAAGGCGCAGTTAGGAATTGTTGGATAAACACAGTGGCATCCCATTGAGCAGGCAATCTTCCTTACATACCATGGTTTCCTAAATTAAATATCCAATTGATGAGAACAAAGTAGTCAGGGAAAGCAAGCGTAAGTCGGTGTAGTTAGCCTAAACCCAAGTCAAGAAGAAAAAGGTCTTTATTTTTCAGATCAACTGGAAACCCCAGTGACTTCTATTACTTAAGGATTGCTGTGCCGCCTGGGCAACTTGGAGCAGACGAGTCTACTTTTCTCTGTAACTCAGCCAAAGTTAAGGGAGTCTGTGGAAGTGGCACATTCCACTCCTGTGATTATCTGGGCAAGGATGTGGAGTCTGAGTTATCTGGAAGAGCCACGATGTTTTGCTGTTCGGTCAGCAACAACGTGCCCCTGTTACGTATGTAAAGGCTTTCAAACCTGAGTTCATTTCTCCTGATGGGAAGCAGATTTTCCTTGGGTGCAGAAATCCTGTTACAGAGGTCAGCAGTTTAAGGAGCAGAGGTAGGAGAACACCTTCCTCCTGGATACACGGAGGGACCTGGGCCTTCCAACGGCCCGCCCGCACGGATTCATGAGCTCAGAGCCAGGCTGGTACACAAGTGCAGCTTTGAAGAAACTGCCAGCAATCTGGTGCTAATTAGCAGGGCGCAGAGTTGTTATTTCAAGGTTGACGCACAGGGTAACAATGCTCAAAGACCGTTACTCTACAATGATTCCTTCCTGCTAGATGCTCTGCTCTCCATCCACCATCCACGAGAAGCAACACATTCTACAGCAACAAATGCATGGGTGGTGGGCCCAAGAAACTGCCCCTTGCCTCTCGCTACAGAAGCTCCTGACCCAGTATCGATCAGAATATCATCACAGATAGCCCCATCACTGCCAAGTCTAGGTTTCCATAGCAAACGAGAGGCATCAGAAAGCCTGGCAAGCGCCCTGAACTGGAGTTCTCTACGTTCCCATGATAGATGCTTACCTCTCAAATAGCTGAAGTGAAGCAGACCCTCAGCCAGGGTCCTAAAGCAGAGACAGGTTGACAGCGTAACCTGCCCTCCAGCGCCACACACGGACCCTGAGAGTCCATGTGACCATGGGCCACTCGGTCTACTTGCAGCCTAGTTCCCAAAAAGGTGATGGCAAAGCAGAGTTCAAGTCCGACTACCTATGTTTTGTACTAACAGAAAAAGCCAACAGGAGACAGGGGGATGTAGATGCTACCCATGGACCAGTGTAGGAGGACTATTACCGAAAGCTGACGGCATATTCCTTTCCTTGTTTCACAAAGTAAACTCGTATTTGGTCACTGTGACGGGGCAGGCATCGAGCCTAATGCTTAAGGTGCCAGGTAAGACACCCACATCCCACATCAGAGTACCTCCAGCTCCTGATTCCAGCCTTCTGCTAATGCAGACCCTGACACCCAATAACCACGATGTGGGACAACAGCATGATTATAACTGGCTGAAGCCTTAATGTCATAATATTATCTACAGCAAATCCTGATTATAGAAGATCTATGAATCCCCTAGTACTGTCACTTTATAAACTGGCTTAAAAAGAAAAAAAAAAAGAAAGAAAGAAATACTCTTTTGAAGAACTAAGTTTCTCGGCTTGGAAGAAAGAAAAAGAGATCATTACAAATGATCTTCATGGTTCCATCAGAGATTTTTAATCCATTTAAATCCAAATATAGAAGATCAGATTCTGATCTGGTATTATTTCTACATTTTTAGAGTAACTTTTCACTCACAAGTTCAAGGTGATAATGCCATTGAAAATATCCACAGGGCATTACTGGCAGGAAACCCAGTCATATAATAGTGAGCTGCATTAGAGTGGTTTGTTTCTTTACTGTATTTTTTCAAATGTCCTGTTGTGTAGCTGTGTAATTTTCATTAATGAAAATTTGTAAACTCAGAAGGAATTCAAGATCACAAAATACAGTTGACTCCATGAAATAATCCATGAGCCAGTGTGCAGAAAGCAGGGCCCGCGGTCCCTGGCTGGGAGGCTCACCAGGGCGGCAGATGTAAAGATGGATCCCACTGGGAAGCATTTCCCAGCAGCCCTGTCTGGGGGGACAGGAGCAGCAGACAAAGCCCCCTTCACTTGGCACCAGACTCCTACCGAAGCATGAGTGGCCGACACAGTCATTAGCCCCGCGTGCTGGCATGGCCACGGAGCACCTTTGAGAGCTGCACTTGATTCAGTTCTAGGGTGGGGATGCCAATGTGACCAGCAATGATAGTCTCACTGACTAAAGCAGCCATCGAAGGCAACCAAACTGCCTCACCGGCCTCTTGCCACCCTGGGCTCAGGGAAAAATGGGTTACATTCCTTTGTCAAGTTATGTTTCATAAACTCAGCTATGTTCATTCTTTTTTTAATTTTTTTTCTATTTATTCGACAGAGTTATAGACAGTACGAGAGAAACAGAGAAAGGTCTTCCTTCCGTTGGTTCTCCCCCCAAATGGCCACTATGGCTGGTGCTGAGCAGATCCAAAGCCAGGAGCCAGGTGCTTCTTACTGGTCTCCCATGTGGGTGCAGGCGCCCAAGCACCTGGGCCATCCTCTACTGCCTTCCCAGGTCACAGCAGAGAGCTGGACTGGAAGGGGGGCAGCCGGGACTAGAACCCAGCGCCCATATAGGATGCTGGCACCACAGGTGGAGGATTAACCTAGTGAGCCATGGCGCCAGCCCCAGCTACATTCATTCTTAAAACTACAGCTATAGGCACAAAGCTGCAAACAGATCCATTCACACTGACAGCCCACAAAGGAGATTCTCTTTACCTGGGCAGGAAGTTTGGGACAGTAAGAGTAAACTCTGTGTTTAAGATTGGTGAGCCTGGCGTCAGATGGTTTAAAAGCTCACTCTCAGCATGTCCTGGTGGGCTTTCCAGAGGGGTAACTATACCCAGATAGACGGGCATAAAGGCTTCCTGCAAAGGGCGACAAAAATAGAACACGCGCATACACACACACACACACACACACACACTCGGCAGGAAGGACTTCAGAGCTGGGCCCTCTGGGAAGCAGTGGGCACCAGGGCACCTCACAAAGCTCATGGGAAAATGGAAGTAAGTTTGCTTTGGTTAAAAAAAGAAAGTTTTGAAATCCATGCATAGTTTTTTGTAACAGACACATTCCCTGAACCTTCTGGAGACCCCTTGTGTGTGTCACACGACTTCCTTGATCTCTCAGTGCCATATCACAGGTCTCTGGAGGTGGCCCTCGGCCAGCCCAGGTCACAGCCGCTGGTTGGTGAAGAAGGACTTGGTCTCCCTGCAGACGGGATTCACACAGAGCGGGCAGCCCAGGGTCCACTGCTTGGAGCACAGCTCGTCTGACTGTATGTGCGCATGCACCAGGTCTGCCAGGGCCTGGAATACAGACAGGAAGCACATCAGAGGCTAGGTGCCCGCCACCACCTGCCCACTGCACCCCCTACTCTGGGGGTCCCTTTCATCTGCGTTGGGAAGCTTCTGAACTGCGTCCTTTCCTAGGATCCTCGGCTTCGAGAAAGTTAGAGATTTCTAGGAAACAGAATCCTCCCACCCCGCCCACTCAACCTTTGCTCTGCAAAGCGGACTGTAAATGAGACACAGTCACAGGTGCGTAGAAATAAGAAAATGGGGGCTCTCTGAAGGAAAAAGAGTGAGCAGATAAGGAATTCGATTTTATTTTTGTAATTAATTGGAACTCCAAATGTTCTAATATGAGAGAAAACCAATATTCTGCGGGAGCTTCTCAGAGGATTACTCTCCAGCATGTTATACTAAAGCGGTTGCAGCACTACAGATACCTTAGAGAACAGCGGATTTCCATTAAGAGACTCTGCTCTTCTGATGTTTTCAACTCCACACTGAATCAAATGAGAAAAGAGAGGAAAAACACAAACACGTTTTATTTTCTTTTTGTTTGTTTGTTTTTTTCCCAAAAGAAACTGCTACAAAAACATAAACACATACACAACTCAAGGGTGACTTCAGTGTTCACGCCCTGCTCTGCGCTGAGAGCAGTCTCGGCCCAGCGCCTGGGCTGGTTCCCCTACCATCAGCGGCTCCTCACTTCTGTCCTTCCCCAGCCCCTCACCTGCCCACGCCGGCTTGGCGTCTGAGGTCACAGCTGATGGACTTCTCAAGTAATTTAAATAGTGGATTGCTCTGGTTTTTTGTCTGCTTTTCTACTCTACTTTTAACAGACTCTGCTAAGTAGAATATTGCTTAAGTTTGTTTCCCTACTTACTTTGATCCCAAGTGCTAAATGAAGTAAATTAATTTGTGGATTATCAAATGTATACCAAGCCTAGATTGGATCCAATTCAGAGGTGAGTTGTTACAGAGAAAAATGCAAAATAAAAAATCTGATGATCATTTCAGTATCTGCTCCTCTCTCCAAAAACCAGCAAGTTATTATTCCTCAAATAACTGAAAACCACCCCACCTAACTGTAATTACTCAGGCGGTTAGGATCCTTTTTGGCCCTTTCTCGCTGACAGCCTGTCAATGCTGTATCTCTTAGATCAGCATGAACATCAAGAATCTGGGTGGGGAAATCTGCGAGTCCGCAAGCCCATGGATCTCAGCTAAAGAAGAGGCTGCATCTTAACAGTCACAGAAGCGAGGGTCACAGCGGGGTGCCCGTGTCTGCAAAGGGCCCCGTCTAGCACCCAGCACGGCTGCCAGGCGAGTAGTGGGGAGTACATTGCTGGAGGGCAATCCGGGAAAGTATGTGTCAACGTGAAATTCCAATCTCGGGAATCCGCCCTAATCAAATAGCTGGAAAGGTGAAACGGAAAACGCATTACAGAATGATGCGTGACAGGGTTCTGTCGTGGGGCGTACAGATGACGACGTACTGCGTGTTTCTCTCAAAGAAACACTCCAAGGACTCCGGATGTTTTCCCTATGAAGAAATGCTGACTGTCTGAAGACAGACATGTTCATCCTGATGGGACATTACGTAGTCTATACATGTATAGAAACATCACATAACTATGTACAACTTTTATGTGGCTATTAAAAAACCTTAGGGGTCGGCGCCATGGTACAGCAGGTTAAAGCCCCAGCCTGCAGTGCTGGCATCCCACATGGGCGCCGGTTCGAGTCCTGACTGCTCTACTTCCGATCCAGCTCCCTGCTATGCTGAGAAAGCAGTAGAATATGGCCCAACTCCTTGGGCCCCTGCACTCACGTAGAGACCTGGAAGAAGCTCTTGGCTCCATGCTTCAGATCAGCTCAGCTCTGGCTGTTGCAGTCATTTAGGGAGTGAACTAGTGGAATGCAAGACCTCTCTCTCCCTCTCTCTGGCTGTACCTCTCACTCTGTAACTCTATCAAATAAATAAAATAAATCTAAAATACATCAAAAATTATAAATATTTTAGACATCTATTAATCAGATTTTTAAAAAATTACATAGGTCTAAGTATATTTATTGCTTTGGGTCTACAGTATATCTTTAAGGAAGAGAAAAAGCTTACAAGCCAGGGTGGATAAAATACCATTTTGTTACGTGTGTGGGAGAATGCCATTTCTGTTAAAGTACACACACATTCAGAAGGAAAAGGGGACCCACTTTTACCCAAATCCTAACAGATGTTACCTCTGAGGGGTAAGATCATGAGTGCATTGTCTCCCTGATATCCTCTGAAGTGTCTGAGGTCTTTATTCTTCCCATTTACTTCTATTTGGGAGGGGAAGGAATTCAAAGAACTTTTTAAAGTTAGGCAGTGGTTGTACACATGCCATAGTGTCCCATCAAAACAACGGAATACATTGTGGCGAGGTGGTTTTCTTTACTATGTGGACTAATTTATTCATCACAGATTCTCCCTCTGAGGACTTAAGGATAACCTGGATTTACTGATATGAATGAATGTGAACTCTCCCTCGATATAGACAGAAATTCACCTTCCAAACACTGGGCTGAGATGGATTCTCCCTGGCGTCCTCTTAGGCTCACAATTAGCCAAGGTCAGGATGGGACACGGCAGGCATCATTAAGTGAAACCCACAGGCAACACTCTAACCTCGTCCTAGCCAATTACAACTGGCCTGAAAATCCTTTACCAGAACCACCGACAAGTAATTTAGGGACTCCCTAACTTCCTTGATGTTTGATTGATGACTGGCATGGACATACAAAGACTGGGGGCTCAGGGACCAGCTCAAGAGCTCCCCCCGCCTCTCTCTGCCCTGCCCTGCACCTGCCACCCAGGCCCAGAGAGGGGGCAGCATCCTTCGAGGCCAGGTCTTCATCAATCATGCACGGAAAGACCAGGGCCAGGAGTTGGCTTCTCGGCTCCCGGCATTTGCGCACTTCCCACAGAGACAAAGC